ACCTGCTTTGCATGCCACTTCTTTCACTTACTGCGGTTTGTTTCTAACTCTCTTTGTCAGATTTGGGGTTTCCGGAACAAATCCATTCCTGTCTGATTTAAGACTTATAGCTGCTTTCAATTTGATTTGTAAAATTGGTGTGATTCATGCAAGTCAAGAAATAAAGATTTTGGGTTTTCAAGAAAACTATCTATTTTGTAAACATGTAATGCGTAAGGGACCTTACTGTCCAGTCCAGATAGTCAGTTTCATGGAGGCTAAGTTCAATTTTTAGAAAGCTTTATCTACCCTTTTCATCAATCACTCTGTGTTTGCGTATTGTTACAGAAAGTTCCGTTTTTTTTGTTTTCTCGTTTGCGGAAGAGAGACACTTTCAGTAAATAGTGTTTGATTCTCTCTTTGTTGGAATGATTTACAACAGTTTCTTGCCAATAAGAGAGGTCAACAAATTGCAAGATTGAAAACGTATTCTTCTCTGTTTATCAGCATAAGACTGGTCCTTTACTTTACTTGTTATGAACTGATCTTGTTCGAACATTCTTGCGACTCTTGTAGATAAGAGGCTTGATCCCGTTAAGGTCAAGGGTGTGGATATCTCTCCTGACCCCGTTGTGAGTGGCGAAGCGGCAACATTTAAGATTTCGGGTTCTACAGGTTATTCCCTTTTATGATCTTCCTGCTTTTCTTTTTTTTTTTTCCTTAAAGTGTCTACTATATTATTGAGATGTAGAACATACTTTGAGCGTCAACATTCCCTGATAAGATCTTGTGTGCTGGTGTTAATAGGCGAAGACATCTCTGGAGGAAAAGTAGTGATCAGGGTTTCTTACTTTGGAATTCCTGTCCATACCGAAACTCATGACCTCTGCGATGAGACGGACTGCCCGATTGCACCAGGCAGCTTTGTCCTTTCTCATTCCCAGACATTGCCTTCAATTACACCACCTGTAAGATTTTGTAACACTCTTTCCATTTATGATAAACGCTATTGGGCTTTACTGAAACAATCTGTTTGTTCCTTTCCTTCTACCCTCGTGGTTTCTATCTCAACGCTTGAACTTACGACATGTTGGCTATGTTCATTTGACACTGGTTTGAGATTGCTTCGTATTTATTCTTATACTCTCACTTCTCATCATAATCAGCTGCGATTAGAGTAGCTTCTCTAATCTAACGATACATCTTCTTGAAACAGGGCACTTACACGCTAAAGATGACGATAAACGACAAGGATGGCGGACGACTAACGTGCATCAGCTTCAAATTCAAGATCACGTTAAGTTCCATGGTCTCTGCTAGCTAAGTTTCCTGGTGAAGTTCTATTCTGTCTTTGTGGACCTCTCTCGTGTGCTTGTGTTGTGTCCAAATAAAAAATGTTCTTCGAGGCTTGAGTTGTTACATTAAATACAGACCAATCTTTCTGCTCTTCTGAGCTAAGAACAAAAACTGTAGATCCATCAAGATCATATTTGTGTTTGTTCTAATCAGAAGCAATGAAGCCGAACCGAAGAGAAGTTGGTGTCCGTCCCCTATTGAACCGAACCAGATATACAAGTTGTAAGGAAATATGAAGGGCCAACTTCTTTGGAGCTGTTTTTGTCAAATGAATAAGTAGAATAGCTAAAAAGTCTTAGGGAGCCTAAGATTGGGAGACATTTTAAGTGTAGTGGTAAATAGAATCAGGAAAGAAAAAGAAACTGTATGTAGTAAGTTAGGGCTGAGATGCAAGAAGCTTAAGAAACAACAATAGATAGTAATACAATCACATACATTGTATGTATGTAATAGAGAAAGGAGTGGTTTTATCAAGTTACAAAATATGCAGCAGAAGAGTAACTAAAATTAAAGAAAATGTATGTAGTGTTAAGTAAGAAGTTAATAATATACAAATAAACAAGCCGCACAATCTTTGTTTCTCTCTTGTATCTAGTTTCTTATTTATGGACTTGATAAAGGGGGGGCTTCCTCATGGCCAGAAGAGCGAGCTCCTTTGGTCATTAAATCATATTGTGTTTACAATCACAAACTCTTGAAAGTCTCAACACACCTATATCTGCATTTTCCTGCCTCTGCTCAAAACGAAAACAAATAATAATACAAAAGCATATCATTACCAAACCCACAATC